TGTTCAGAGAATCGTGGAACAAACTGTCTAAAATATGAAGCCAAACCTATAAATTCTCTTAACTGCGTGGCAGTAGTTGGTTGACTTAATGCGAATAAAGCTTTTTTTTTCTATTTTTGGGTTTGATTTCGGCATCTTTAATATAAAACCCGAGATACTCTATTCCTGTCTTGAAAAATTTGCACTTCTTTATGTTGAATGAAAATCCGGCATTTGACAAGGCTTTAAGCACAACTTTCAATCTTGTAAAAGCTTCTTCTTTGGAGTTTGCGACTATCAACACATCATCAATATAAACAATTGCATACGAGTATGCCAAATAACCTAAGGCTCGAAATATCGTTCTTTTAAATACTGACGAAGCGTTCTTCAAACCGAATGGCATAGCAAGGAACTCGTATTGGCCTTCTGGAGTCACGAAAGCTGTTTTCTCGATGGAGTCAGTGTGAATCGGTATCTGATAAAATCCGCTGGCCATATCCAAACTATTAAAGTATTTACTACCACGTAATCTATCTATCTGATCTGATATTAATGGCAATGGATATTTATAAGACACCGTATTCGCATTCATTTCGCGAAAATCAATGCACAGTCTATCACTGCCATCTTTCTTTTTTAACTAAAAGCATAGGACTAGCGAATGGAGAGCTACTTAAGCGGATGACATTGCTCTCAATCATTTGTTGAATTTTGTCCCTAACTATTAGTTTTTCTTTTGCACTTAATCTATACGGACGTCTTTGTACATTTTTATGTTAATCAATTAGACGAATTTCTAATTCTCCTGTAGTTATACGCCTGTGTGGCATGCCAGTTATGAATCTATCTGAGAATTCATTTAAAATATTTCTTAATATTAACTTATCATTATCAGCTAGTTCCATATTGTCGTTAATCAGATTTTCTAAGATGCTTATCGAAGTTTCATTTTATTTATTTATTTATTTATTTATATATAGCGCTACAAGTGCACACTTATAATTATCGCGCTAGTCACATTGAGTTGATATTTTATATTATTATTATTTTTAAGTTATTAAAACAATTTCTCTCGCTCCTAATTAATATTATTGACTAACATCAAATTTTCGTAGTTTCTTAGTTACAATTATTATTGTTTTTAAAATATATATATTTTTATTTTTTTTTATTTTTGTTTGGTTTATTTTTTGTTTTTTTTTTTCATTTAATTTTATATACTTATGTGTACTGGTACTTTAAAAGATCTTTAACTTTATTGTAAAATTGAGTTGCGCTCCTAATTGTTTTGTATTGGTGCGGTAGATTGTTCCATAGCCGGATACCATTTATGAAAAATTGCCTTCTCGAACACAGTGTTTGTATTCGAGGGCATATGTAATTTTTGGTTCTTACAGATGTGGCTGGGGTAAGTTTATTGAAGAGATATTTTGGTTCTCCACTCGTCACTATTTTGTGAAAGAAGATTAAAATTCTGAGATCGATCCAGGAGGTCAAGTTAGGGTCAAGTATTTTATATGTCAGTTCTGATACATGGTCAAAACGTCTTAAGTTAAACACATAACGGACAACTGAATTAAAAGCTACAGTTAATGTACGCAAATCCCGCACATCACAATTTCCAAAAATTTCTATGCCGTAAAAGAGAGTGGGCAGGAGGATAACTTTGGCGATTAATAGTCTAACTTCCTCAGTTAAGAACGATTTGGAGAATGAAAATTTTCTCAGCAGAGCATATGTACGCCCTGTCGCTTTGACTATATGGTTGCTCCATGATAAAGTATTGTTAAATGTTATGCCTAGATTAACTGCATTCACTTCATAGCTTATCGGCGTATGGTTTATATATAATTTTTGAAGTGAAAGTGTTGAAAGTTGCTTTTTACCAATTACCAAGCACTTCGATTTTTTAGGATTTATACCCAAGCCATTTTCCTTTGCCCATTTTTCAATTAGCCACAACATTTTATTACTTATACGGACACAGTCATGTATTTCATTTACGGGTCTACTAACATATATTTGGACATCATCAGCATATAAATGTACTTCACACTCAGACAGGATACTAGGGAGATCATTGACATATATAGAAAACAATAAAGGGCCTAGCACAGATCCCTGTGGCACTCCCCTGGATAAGTTGCGGAGAGAAGAAACTTGCGTTCCAGAGACGACTGCTTGAAACCTATTCGTTAAGTACGACCTAATAAGCTTCGTCGCATTAGTTGAGAAATTAAACATATTCCTAAGCTTGGTACAGAGAATATTATGATTCACAGAATCAAAAGCCTTGCTGTGGTCAAGGAGCGTCAAAAACGTTACGCAGTTACTGTCCAGTTCTTGTCTTATATCCTCTACAATATTTGTGATTGCAGTAATACAACTCCTTTTCTTACGGAATCCTGATTGTTTTTCGTCAAGTAGAGAATTATTAGCTAAGTATAGTTGAATCTGTGAGGACATAAGGTTTTCAAAGACTTTTGATAGAAAAGGTAATATTGAAATAGGTCTATAGTCATTGTTTGGCTTAGGAATTGGGAAAATTTTGGCGTTTTTCCATATTAACGGAAATGAAGACGTTGTAATAGCCGTGTTAAAAATATATGTAATGGACTCATATTATCGAGACCAACAGCATCAGACTTGACATGCAGAATACTAGCTAGGACATTACTTTGGTTTATACATATAAAGCTAAAACTATTATCACAGAGGGGTTGAGTATTCAGGTACGGATTGCATGTTGCTTCAGGTACATCTATTTCCAAAAACTTTTTGTTTATTAATTCGACATCCACCTCAGACTCTGTCTGTTGCTTACACTTTCCAATACCTAACCGTTTTAGTTTGTTCCATCTTTTTTTTGAGTTAACACAATTATTAAATTGTATGTTATAATGCTCTTTCTTTGCTGATTTTATCTTTTTGTTTACTTTTACCCTAGCCTCTTTGTATTGTTTTCGAAATTCATCAGTTTTGTATCGCTTCCACCGGAGGTAAGCTACATCTCGCTGACGGGTTAGGTTTTTAATTTCACTACTTGGTCCTTAGGGGCACAAACTTGTTGAACAAATACTGGACATTGTTGGTTAAAACATCTAATTGACAATCTACATGACGAAGTTGGTAAATACATGACCAGTCACAACACAAAAATTCCGTTTTTAATTCATTATAGTTTATATTTTTGTAATCTCTGTACGTAAAAGAATTGATTTTGCTGTCAAAGGTCAAGTCGTATGTTAAAAATATTAGGTCATGTCTGGAGAAGGCTGGTACAGAAACCTGGTCATAATGTATGATTTTGCTAGGGTCATTGATAAGAAATAAGTCAAGTAATGTATCACAGTGGCTGCTATAGTGCGTGGGAATCGTTTCGTTTACGGAAAACAAACCTAGGGACTTAAAGTTATCTAGGAGATGGCTTTCTGACAATAGGTTGCTGTTAAAATCACCTGCCAATATGATGTCAGTGTACTCCAACGAAATGCCTGAAACAACATTAAGTAATGACCCGTAGTCAATTGTCCGATTCGGTCTATATATGCAACCTAGAAGGGTTCTTCCATGGGATTTATTGGGAAGTTCTAATAGAATGTATTCGATAGTACTGTCACTAGGCTGTTTAAGTACCACTTTACATTTCAGCTTCACATTTACGTATATAGCAACACCTCCTGCATGACCAGTACGGTCGGACCGATAAACATTAAAGCCTTCACAAATAATAGACGAATCACATAGATCATTTACAAACCACGTCTCAGACACACATATCACATCGACATTAGACTGAGTGAAAAGGAATCTAAACTCATCAATCTTCTTTAGCAAACTTTGTGCATTTAAGTGAACAATTTTTAGACCAATTTTATAACTACTTATAGTTTTTATCATGGCACTAGCTATGGAACAAACTTCCTCATCCTGCATTGTTGTTATCAATGATTATTAGGGGCGCAATCTCAATATTCAATGCGTATCTTATACATTTCTTAGAGTAAACTAGTTTTAAACCTATCTTAATTAAGAGGATACAATTTATACGCTTAAGAACGAAAGCTATCAGCTTCAGGTCCAGCCGAAGCGTTAGTGAGAGATGTAGAAAGTGGATCAGGCGAAAGATTAATGGACGAAAGTTCCTCCATACTGTTAATGCAACAGACACCCTCTCTTCGAGTGCAGCGTACGTGCACAAGGCCGCGTCGTGTAAAAACAGCCGTAAGGATTTTATGTTTTTTCATGCGCATAGCCTCTTTAAAGACTCTTTTAACAATTGCTCATTAATATAAATTAACGCTTCTGAATTGAAACCCAGAAACTGCAAGCTAAGTTGTTTCTTGTGCTCGCGCCTGTACATTCCGACTTGACCAAGCAGCTTGATCTTTTCGCGTGGGTTTAGCATTTTAATTATTATCACCGGATCCACATGTGTTTGCTGTGATTTCCTTGCTCGGAAGATATCGCAGACTCTTGGTGGTGGAGTCAGCTGGAGATTAAAGCATAGCTTGTGATAGAGCGCTCTGAGATCTTCACCTTCGACATAGGGAACTCCATGAACCCTCAGATCACACGAGCTAGTCTCCCTGCATTGCGTTGCCATCCTGGCCTCCAGTGCACCCAACCTCTGACCTGCTGCTTGTAGATTTTCTACCTCCCGGTTCAACGTCTCAACCCGCTCACCCATTCGGTCCCTCATGGAGCGAAGATCGGCAACCTCGCGCTCCAACGTCAGGACACGAGCATCCATTTGTTTTACTTCCCCGGCGATTTTGTCCAAGCGATCCATAAGGCTTCTGAGCATTCGCTGTTCAGCTTCCCGAACGGCCGACTCAATTTTCTCGGTTTGTTCCTCGAAGCGAGTCTTTAGGAGCTCCAGAAGCTGAGGCGAATTTACATCCGAGATGCGTTCGCTGGCAGTTCCAGCATTGTTGCGGGTACGTTTAGTAGGTGGAGCAGAAGAACCCATGACTTTTTTAAGTGTATTTATTGTTTGATTTGGTTAAGGTTAGGTCGGTTGTGTTTGTATTGTATCTTTCGGATTTAATCTTTAAGTTTAAGTAATAGCTTAGCTTGCAACCACTCACTGCTTTACCGACAAACTGCCTTATCGACAATAGTGAATAGCTGCCTTATCGGCAATAGCGTAGCTGATGGGGCAACCTTTTTCTCTCTTGCACTCCGAAGATGCTGCCGCACCGATTGTCTCTCACTGAAGGTGCACGCACAACCGCACTTGTTGTTCAGCAAGAATTTATTTTCTGATTTATAGAATCAACTTTGTTTATTAGCACTATGTTGTGTTGTTCGCGGATAGGGCTGGTGGTATATTAGGCAGTTATAGACTTTCTTCAATTTTATAAATGTTATTTTCCGTGGAATATCGTTTATTTTATAGAGCGTTCAATAAAGCGACTGCACACGGGAGAGTTGGCTTCTTCTATCTTCATTACTCACTACATTGACATCTATCATGACACCAAAACCTAGCTGCAATATTTCTCGACCAATTATAATATCGTACTTAAGGTAGTTATCCATTACTACATGAAAAAGGACTTCTACATTAAATTCGGAAATATTTACAGTTGCCAATATTTGTAAGTTACTTTTAACAATGTTATCACCTATTCCTCTTAGAACTACCGTATTATAAATCCTTTTTCCAGCCAGCTTGTTGCAGAGTTTTTCCTTGACCAAAGAGCATTCGGCACCCGAATCGAAGAAGAAGATAAAACTCTCACCCATTTGCTTCATAATACCAGTTGGCTCCAACACTGCACACATGTCGACTCGCTTCTCGTTGTTGTAGTTGTGCGTCGAAGTCGTGCCCTTCGCACATGCAGATGCAATGTGAACAGGATTGCCCCACTTGAAGCAAGTAACTCCTGACCTCTCTCGTCCAGTGAAAGGTTTGCCAGTATGATGAATTGGTTTTGCGTCGTTTCTCTCTTCTCCCTTCTTCTTACGGCATTCAAACGCTTTATGTCCCATCTTGCCGCAATAATGACATTTGATTTGCGCCTGCTCCTTAAACCTCTTCCTGTCCGGTCCTTGATCCAATCCAGAGTTGTCGCTCACTTTGCTGAACGCAAACGCCTTTAAGAGTTGCTGCAGTTCATTCCTAGTTTTTATGTTTGTAGTGAAAACGGAACTTTGCAGCCTGGGATCGGTTTGGGACGTGATGGCCAACACTAAAGAAACAGCTATCTCCTCTTGGCTCATTCCTTTCCACTTCGTCAGCAGTGACGTCACCAGCCTGCTGCCATATACTGACAAGGACTCGTTTGCATTCGGCCGTCCGTTGAGAATGTTGAGCAATACGGCAGACGGTGGCTTGATGCCTTCATAGCGGTGTAAAAACAAGTCCTTGAATTCCAGCCATGACATTCCAGCGAAGCAAATTTGGGATAGCCATTGCGAAGAGTTTCCAAGCAGCGATTTGCAAAGTGCCATGACTAGTGCTCCGCCTTCCAGTGGACGCTCGGATATTGTAACAGCGCCTGAAGCGTTTGTGCGAGTACGTATGCATATAGTCAGCCTTAAAGTAGGCTCTATAAATACATAGGTACATATGCACTTAGCTTTGCGTTGCCAAATCAGTGGACCACATCTGCAGTTGCATTAGATCAGCTGGCATAAATCAGCTGTAACAGAGTCGCAATACAAAGCTCGGCTTTCGCACCGCGGCCAACTTTGCAGACCCACATCCGAATTCCGGACACGTTCTTTTCTTTTATAGTATTCAAAGCGATCACACGCGTATAATTCGAGTGCGGCACACTAAGTCCGAAAAACTATACAAATAAGTGTTCTGAAAATCGAGTTGAATATTTATGCATGTTGGCGGTTGCCTAGATTTTCTGCAATCCTAGTGGATTAGCGAGCCACATCGTTCACCCGCAGCTGCCGCAAGTGCTGGGCAGCACGGGCATCGAGGGAAGCGCCCTGAAAAGTCGCCGGAAGATCGACGGATCCCTGTAGTGTCCACGGAAGCACCCCCTGTAGTCAACCAAGCACCAGCAGTTTCTCATCGCGATCTAAGGCCTAGAGTCCCCACAGCGTTCATTTAATCTTAGCGGACAGACAAGCAGCTCCGTTTGTAACCGCTTCAGCGGCTCTTCCTCGGCGGTTAACTGAGCAGCAGCCATTAAATAGGCAACAACCGAGAGCAGCAATAGCTCGATAGAGCAGAATGTAGTCCCTCAGGATTACAGACAGGTCGTCAGTGTTTAAATTGGCCAAAACACGAATTTTAGGGTTCGATCATGTGCACATTGGAAATTTTCCAACGGGGTTAGGGAGAGCCAGAAAGTAAAACAGCAGCGAGGTTTGCCCATCGTCGATACACTAGTGAATGGAGAAAAGCCGCGCTTCGACGCTTAATTCCTTGACTCGATTTTTTTTATAATTAATGTAAGGGCATACAAATTCGCACAATGTTAGAATTTCCTTAACATTTAAACCCCCCCAAATAAGTGCTAGATCGGCCAGAGTCACCAAATATGCACAGAATGACGCACTGAGAGAAAAGTTGGAAATGGAATAAAAAAATAAAATATTAAGTAAGATAAAATTATTTTAGGAACAGAAAATATAGGCGTAGGTAGAACCGAACGAAAGAAAGAAAAATATAATCATGTACGGGTTCGGTTTTAGGAATTATTAGTTAAAAAAAATAGGTGGTTGACTAAAACATGTGAATGCTCTGTATTTACTTAACCCTTTGCGAACCACAGTCGCTATTCTTTTACAGTCACCGCTCGGGAGATCGATCTTTCGTCGTGGAGAATACACCAAGTGAGTTAATACAAAATTGTATATTTTTGGCTAATTTATACTCGGCATTCGAATCCAATGTTTAATAAAAAAATGGTCAAACAAAAGTAAAAGAGAACATGCACACCCTTAAAAGCTGATTAAATTGGAGATTTATATGAACAACAGTAGTCCTAAAGCCGAACGCATCTCCTTTGTAGAAGTACTGTAAAAATATAAATAAATAAATAATAATAATTTTAATAATAATAGAGAAGAAAAAAAAATAAAATAAAATTAAGCTGTGAATACACTGAGGAAAAAAAAGGAACAACAGTTAGAACCAAACAATAGAAGATATTTCCTTTGTAGAGTAGAAACTTATCTATGGAATCAACAATGAAATTTCTCTACATTTTATATATATTAAGACCCCTTATTAAAACTTAAGATTACCTCATACTATCCGCACCCAATAATTATATCTGTTTATGGAGAACGAACTATTGGTATTTTTTTTAGGGTAATTAGATATCGATAGTATACATAGCCCCTTCTTATTCCCTTCGGCTATTGACATTTGCAATTGTATTCCACTTATGTCTTTTCCCAATGGGGAAAAGGGAGTAACCCGCCCTGGCAACATAGGCCTGAAATTTAATTTGGATTATTAAAATGAATTTAAACGAACCATGGAGTAATTATTTAATTAATTTCTTGATTAAAAATAATAGACAAGTAGCAGATCTGGATTAGGAAGACCTCCACCCCCCAAAGCCGACAAGCTAGAGCCGGATACTATAGCGTGCCCCGCGAGGACAGATCTGTGTAAAATACTGTGCTACATAAGGTTGCACGTTACAGTTATAATTAATTATTATTATTTAAAAAGTGGCGCCCAACGTGGGGCCTTAACGGGTGTAACTTCTTGCACTCGGTAAGACTCATCGTAAATAGATTCCAGAATTTCCTTTATTTTCTCATTTTCTTAATACCGTTATGTGAATCAGCTGATTTTCACCGTGTTTTGTTTATGTTTTGGAACGCAAGAGGAGTACAATTTTAGCTGAGCTTATTGACCAGAGCTAAAAACAGGCGGTAAAAAAAAAATTCGACTCTCTTCTACCTACTTTGATAGAACTAGGGGTTGGACCTTAAATTGGTTGCGGAAAACAGTAAGGAACTTTTGTCGGTCTACTGGCCACGAGCAATTAACACACGGTCGGTCAGCCTAACACAACTTTTCCGAAAACGGAGAGATTTGGAAAATAAACGACCTGGCTTGCGAGAGTGTCATAACCACTCAAAGTTGAGGAAAGTTGTTAAATTTTTTTTTTTGTTTTGTTTGCTTTTGCATGAAGTTTTCTTGATTTGAAGGAAGCCGGAATGCAGACAGTGTGTATTGTAAACAGCGTTCTGCCAGGAAGAATTCAATAGATTATCTTCAAACTATCTTCAATCATCTTTTACTATCATACTAAAACTCCACAAATCTAAATCTCAACGAAGAGAATTTCAGTAAACGTTAAAAACGTATGAATACCTTTCGACACGCTGGATATCTAGCGCAGAGTTCAATCAGTATCTTTTGATTATTGATCAGTTATCCTTTTCGCTTTAGTTAAAGTACGCGTTTAGCATCAATTTATTGTGTTGTCTTTATTCGATCGTAAGTTACTCTTTTCTAAAATGTTGCATTCTCCAGTGGGCGCTTCGGCACCAGTGTACCCGTTGTGCGAGAGGGAAGTAAGAGGTGCAGCGGACCCGTATATTACTTCATGTCTACACGAGTATCACAAGAAATGTATTGAGAGTCATTTCAAGGGAAGCGAAAACTGTCCCGTTTGCCTAGTGCCTTGTAGGCCAGCTGGGCCACATACGCGTGCTAAAGGGCTAATCTTGGAAGAGGGTCTGATCCAACCCTCAGCCGAGAAGAAGGCCCGGAGTAGTAAAAGTAAAGAGAGAGAGAGAAGTTAGACAAGCCAACCCCATGTTGAGGGGACGAGTAGTTGGTTACAAATGGAGCGGAGATTGCTCACGACTCTTTCAGATAAACTAGTAGAGTTAGTTCGGAGTTCGGTAGAAGAACATTTTCGACGATTGGCTGCAACCCCAACAATTGAAAATGCTAATAGCGAAATAAGACCTACTTCGCCTTCACGCGCTACGGAAGGTCAAAATAGACCTTACGAGAGGAACTTAAGCTATCGAAACGATAACGCTGCAGTAAAAAATGCTGGATCACCCATATCTCACAGGAGCATTGGATCTGACTTGAACAACCGGCCGGGTAAGGTTGTTCAGATCCTGAATGGGTGGAAGTTAAAGTATTCGGAAGTCGGAGTGTCAGTGGACAACTTTATATATAGAGTTGAGGCGCTTACACACCAGACATTAGAGGGAAACTTTGCAATACTGTGCAGAAATGCCAGTGTTCTTTTCGAAGGTAAAGCCTACGAGTTCTATTGGCGCTACCACAAGTCCGTCAGCAGAGTACAATGGGATACGTTGTGTTTCGCCTTACGTACACAATTTCGGGAGGAAAGGGACGATGTAGATGTTGAAGAGCTCATTAGAAATAGAAAGCAGAAGACCAATGAATCTTTCGACAGCTTTTACGATAGTGTTCACGCCAAAAGGGCGTTTATTTTCAGGAGGCAGTGTCGAGCTGCAGTTTTATCCAGATTTCTATATCCCGCGCGCTCGCACTGCCGTCCGCTCTCCCTCTCCATCTCTCCCCTAAGTCTCCGCTCTGCTCTGGAGCGCTTAAGTTAAGTTAGGCTTAAGCAGTTCTTGTTTCAAAGTGTACGAATAAACACCTACGCACGTCGCGTAAAAACCCCAAAATTACTCCCGTGTTTTTTGGGTACCATCAGTCTTGGGGCTTCAGCTATTTAATCGATCAAGCCGCACCGCCCCAACATTTTGGTCCAGTCGAATCCGGATTTCGAAATCTTTGGACTTTCCTCTCCTGGAGTTTCCTTTGATTTTGTCCCAGCCGGCTTGAAACACTCCAGATAAGTTCCGCTTACTATAATTGCCGGTCATACAGCCAGTTTTTCAAACCCTATTTCGACTAACTTTCTGTATGATATATTGTCTAAATCCAAAAGTGATTAATCCGACGCAACGGCATTTAATATATGTATTTCGATTCCGTTACTTGTGCCCGACAATATTCCAGTTTACTTTGCCCACAATTGTACACTTGAAACAATTCCAGAAGATATTTCAGTGCTATTATTCAACAAAAATATTTCTCAAATATATTTTCAATTCCAATTGTGTGTAAAATATAACTCAGCCACAGTAAAAAATTCCCGATCATAAAGATTGTCCTTAAGATTTGCACTCTTTATTTTTTACTGTGTTCCAGCTGCATGTGTATATTTACAAAAACAATCTAATACAGTCCACTCGAACTACTTTTTTCTAATACAGTCCACTCCAACTACTTTTCTCGACCTACAAATATGGCTAAACTATTTCTAAAATTAAAAACAAAGTGACAATATCCAAAAATGTACTCCACCAAATCGTTTGCAATTTAGTTGTGCAGGTGACAAACAAAAGCACCGACATACAAACATAAGCGAAGTCTTTCCCATTCCCGCAACGTTATTCTGCTATTCGCACCCCACATATTACATACGTACAGTGTACAAACATACGTATACCGTATATCGCAGTGCACAGTGGGTCAAGAGCTCACAAAAAGTGTTCCTTTCAAAAAAATATTTAAAGTCCGTAATTCCTTACATAAGTCCGACCATCCGATATAAAAAATATTTATTGCCTATCCGACAGTGTGACCGTATATATTTACAATCTTAATTGGTTCCTAAATTCCAATTTGATTCCAATCCGTTTCCTTACATCAGAATTAAAATTCTAAATTATTTAACGTCATGGCAACATCAGTAAAATCCGCTTTAACCCGATTTATGGCCACAGCTGACTGTCTGATCCACTTTGAGGCCACTGTGAACGCTCCAGGTGCTCCTACACCAACGTTATCCGCCTATAAAATCCGTCGCGATCACCTCAATTTCTTGTGGCAAACGGTAAAGGCAGCATACGACATATGCTCCGACTGCATTATAACTGCAGGCGAGAGCGCCGCAGACACAAAATCCATACTAAAGTCCAAGTATTACCAAACGTACTCCACTTACGAAATATTTGCCGCGCAGCTGATGGAACAAATCCAAAAGGGCTCCTCCCAAATACCTCAAGCTCCAGTAACTCCGTCCCAAAATTCCACGTCTTATGGCTGTCGGCTCCCTCCTATCGACACAGAGGATTTCTCTGGCGATTATCTTCGCTGGCCGACTTTCCGGTACCTTTTCACGGCAATATACATAGACAATCCGAGTCTAACGCCCGTTGAAAATTATTCCACTTAAATTCAAAAACAAGTGGCGAAGCTCATTCCATAGTTTCAAGATCCCCACTCACCAATGATGGCTTTCGCACAGCCTGGAATAACCTAACTGAGCGTTTCGAAAATAAGCGATTGCAGGTGAACAGTCACCTGAAAACACTTTTCAATGTGCAATCCATAGCACAGGAGTCGGGAGCAGCCTTAAAGGAACTTCAACGCACTTTTCAAGGTTGCTTAACTTCCTTAAAATTTTCCGGTGTTAATATTGAGAATTGGGACCCTATCCTGGTTTGTATGTGCTCGACAAAACTACCAAGCTCACTCTCTCATTATGGGAGCAATCCATCCAAAATAAAGCCGAAATTCCTACGTGGCTTGAGCTTGATTCATATTTGACGGAGCGCCATCTAACTCTTGAGGACGTCGATAGCTTGCGATCTGCCAATTTCCACCACGTCCAGTCCAAAAACACAAATCGAGAGGCAGAATTTCCAAGAATAAATTCCTTCAACACAAGGTTAGTTCCGATAACCAAAGGCTGCGATCTGTGTTCGAAGAAGAACCACCCCGTGCGCATATGTCCACGCTTCCTACAGATGACGGTAGAAGATCGCTTAGCCTATATCCAAAGGAAGCAGTTGTGCTCCAATTGCTTTGCAAGTAGCCATCAATTCCGGGATTGCACAAGCGCTCACAACTGTCTCACTTGCCAAGATCGGCATCACAAATTGCTGCATCGAAACAGCGGTCCTACTACTCCGACGATTCCATCCGACCCTCCAAGGCCAGTATCCGCCTCAGTTCCACACATCATTTCGCCCTATTCAACGCAAGTTTCCGTACAAAAAGTTCCTCCTAAGAATACTCCATCCGAATATTGGGTTCCATACCCGCCTTGGATGGCAGACGTACTCGAGGTATTAAATCCTACCAATGCCGAGTCTGCCAAAAGATCCATCCTCTACGGAAGTGCCACCACTTTCTACGGCTAAGCCCCAGAATCGGCTTCAGGAAGTACATATCCAGAAGTACTGCTCCAATTGCTTGGCTCACAATCATTCCAAGGACTCCTGTAGCAGTGGTCATCACTGCCACAAGTGTGGAAAGGCCCACCACACTCTCCTACATACGGACGACCGATCTACACTTCCAACATATTCCTGAGCCTACTATCCTGAGGTTCTTGCTACGGGTGTCCTCGCAAGGGGGGGGGGGGGGGGGGGGGGGGGGAGAATGTTCACGCCAAAAGGGCGTTTAATTTCAGGAGGCAGTGTCGAGCTGCAGTTTTATCCAGATTTCTATATCTCGCGTGCTCGCACTGCCGTCCGCTCTCCCTCTCCATCTCTCCCCTAAGTCTCCGCTCTGCTCTGGAGCGCTTAAGTTAAGTTAGGCTTAAGCAGTTCTTGTTTCAAAGTGTACGAATAAACACCTACGCACGTCGCGTAAAAACCCCAAAAGTACTCCCG